GTAATATATGTGTACTTAAATGATGCAATTTTATTGGGGGGGGGGGGGTTATATTGACTGGATCAAATTATTGGGGGGGCTTATAACCCCCCTAACCCCCGTGTAAATTACGCGGGTGGGGGTGGCCAACCTTTTTTGAACCAAGATCTACTTTTGAAGTCAGCAGTTTGCTGAGATCTACTTGTCTAGTCCCGGTATCACAAAAACATTATGTTCATTTCCCTACTCCTCACTTCTTTAAAGTAAATAAAACAGAACAATGTGTTGCTAAAGTTTTATTTAATTTAAAGTATTTAACCATCTGCCCCTTCACATTATTTCTACTGATTGCTGTAACTCCCTCATGTCAGTCTTCATGGAAAAAATTCACTCCATACACCAACACCTTGGGCCAAACTGCCCCCAAAATCTTTATAGAACTCCTACCCACCTCCATCCCCCTCTGTCTTCGCTCTCCCCTCTGCTGCTGACGTCTCTGCCATCATTAGGAAGTCCAAATCCTCCTCTTCCCAACTAGATTCCATCCCCACAGCTTTGGTTAAATCCTGTCTCCCCTCTCTGCTTCCTATCATCACTAACATCATCCACTCCTCTCTGACGACTGGTACCATCCCCACAGCTTTTAAATCAGCTGCCATCACCCCCATCATTAAGAAAACAGGTCTAGATCTGACTAACTTCAATAACCTCCATCCCATTTCTAATCTGCCTTTCATCTCCAAAATTCTTGAAAAGTTTGTCGCTAATCAGCTACACCCACACCTCTCCAGCAATAACCTCTATGAACAGTTTCAATCAGGTTTTCGACCACATCACAGCACCGAAACTGCTCTTATTAAAACTAGATACTGCATTGCAGTAACATAATGATCCCCGCACGCACAAATGCACCAGAACTCAGAAGTCTTTATTCCTAATAAATGTCACTCTCTACGTGCATACCAAAATTGTAGTGGTTTGTGTGTGGGTCTTTTTTTGGGGGGGGGCATTGGTTAACCTGATGGATAGCCCCTCATCAGAGCTAAACAACAAAAGAAATCTAAAGCTCCTATGTTTAATAGTATTTGAGCTATAACCATACCCCTTTTTCAGATAAATTGGGGGTCCGGGCAGGGGGTGGGGTGGGGGGCACTGATTGGTGGGCCTGATGGATAGAGCTTCATCAGAGCTAAACAACAAAAGAAATCTGAAGATTTCTTTTGCTTTTTTGTTGAAAAGTTTCTGAGTTATAAGCATTTTCGCATGTCTAGACACCTCCTCTTTGAAAGGAGCCCCCTCCTCAAATATGGGTTGTATTGCAAAACCATTGGCTGGCGCAGTGTAGGTCAGACTCTTCTACAGTCCTGCCAAATTTCCTGTTGATCGGTCCAGCCGTTTTTGTGCTACGGTTGACCAAAAATCTCTGAACAAAAATAAATAAATAAGGAAGAAGCGTGCACAGAAAATGGATGGATGGATGGATAAATAAATAAATAAATAAATAAATAAATAAATAAACAGTACGAAAACAATATGACTCCGGCTTACGCTTCGCGTGCGGGGGACATTATTACTAATGATCTTCTCCTTGCTGCTGACTCAGGACTTCTGTCAATATTCATCCTCCTTGATCTGAGCTCTGCCTTTGACACATCTCTCATCCTGTCCTCATCAACTGACTAATCTATATCGGCATCTCAGACACCCCCTGGACTGGTTTAAATCCTATCTTTCCGACCGCACTCAGTTCATACAGCTCAAGTCCTTCCGTTCCCAGTCTTCACCCATTTCCACTGGTGTTCCCCAAGGTTCTATACTCGGGCCTCTCCTTTTCATAATCTATCTGCTTCCGCTTGGCCACATCTTCCGTAAAATTGGTATCCATTTCCTCTCTTATGCTGACGACACTCAGCTCTACATTTCATCAAAACTGAAATCCACCATACCATCCTTCACTCTTGCCGACTGCCTCAGTGAGCTCAGTAACTGGTTCTCCAATAATTTCCTCCAACTAAACAATAACAAAACTGAACTCCTCCTTGTTGGGACAAAAAATTCCATTTGCAAATCCCAAAATCATCTCTTCACATTTAACAACTCTGTTCTTTCCCCCTCGCCTCAGGTCAAGAACCTAGGTGTCATCCTTGACACCACACTCACTTTCATGTCCCACATTAACAAACTTGATCTGCATACTTTCATCTCCGCAACATGAACCATCTCCGTCCTTCACTCACTCCCCGTTCCACTGCCATCCTTGTACACAGCCTAGTAACATCCAGGATCGACTACTGCAACTCCCTACTGTTTGGCCTCCGCAATAAATCCCTTCACAAACTACAAATGGTTCAGAACTCAGCAGCTCGTGTAATCACTCAAACCTCATCCTCTGCCCACATCACTCCAATCCTACAACAGCTCCACTGGCTCCCAGTTAAATCCTGCACATCTTCAAAATTCTCCTACACAACTTCAAAGCTATCCACAATCTTTCATCTCTTTACCTGTCTGACCTCCTGAACATCTCCACACCCTCCCACTCTCTAAGATCTGCCTCCTCCCTCCCACTCTCAGTACCTCCTGCCCACCTCAGCACCATGGGGAGCAGAGCTTTCAGCCGCTCTGCTCTGCAGCTCTGGAACTCACTACCCCACGGATTACGCAATACAACCTCTCTCTCCCTGTTTAAGAATGGCCTGAAGACACATCTTTTCAGATTAGCCCACGGTTAACTTCGATTATACCTCAATATATGACTGTTTTGTAGTCCTCATTTCTGTTTCTCCCCCACAACCCTATTGTTCAACTTATCTGTTTTTTGTTTTTCTTCACATGACTGTTATGTACTCCACATTTCTATGTTTCTGCCGCACTACCCTATCACTCTATGTATTTACATTTGTTTCTTTTCTATTGTACAGAGTCCTCGGGTGTCCTGAAAGGTGCTTTATAAATAAAATGCATTATTGTTGTTATTATTATTATTATTATTATTATTATTAGGTGCTTCTTGAGATTACTTAACAAAGTAACAGCTCC